TATATATATATATATATATATATATATATATATATATAATCCATCAATGATGCTTTTTCAACCCCAAATATGTACCTAGCTCTGGGCTAGAGACTTAGTATAAGGGAAATATAAACATTGTAAGACTCAAACCTAATACACTAAGTTCGAAAATTTAAAAGAGAAGGCAAAATTTACACAATTGAAAAATGACAGAATGAATGAGGTGAAGAAGTGTTACCACACCAATTGTGATGAGTATAGAATTTCAAAGCACACAGTGTAAATTAGCTTGCAAAATAGACTTGAATCAGTGGCTAGGAATAAGGACACATAACTGCACACACATGTACACAGGTATTCCTACATATACTTCCCCCACCATATTACTAGAAAGAACGTAGCAATTGCATCACACACAGACACATAGACACACACACACACACACACACGCACACACACACAGACACACAGAGTGAGAGTGGCAGCAAAAGTGAGAGAGAATGAGAGAAATAAGAGAGAGCTGAGCTAATGAAAAGTTACCAGCTCTTCTAAGATCTATCAGATAACTGGGCTCTTGTCCCCTAATACTAGTCATTTTAGCACACTCAGATCAGAATCCTAGGAGCTTGATGCAATACTAGTAATGACACTTAAAGTGTAAATAATGCAATATATGCATGCACTGAAACATCCCATCAAAATAAATTTTATAACTAGTGTATCAGCTAAAACTAATTGAAAACTTAAATTGTATTTATGTTTAGGTTCACAATACTCTGAGCCCAAGAGTTAAAAACTTTTGCACAAAGGTATAGGAGGACTGCAACTCTGAGTTTTGCTTTCGAGCTCAATGCTAGTTTTCAAGGTCAAGTTCAGATAACTGTACTTCATGCTTCTGGCAAGTTTGAAGGGAAAAATATTCATTTTAAAATGAGCTCAGAACACTCTGTTCTTCTTTTCAAAAGTCCATTCTCAAAGAAAACTGATTTTTTAGATTCTAAAAATAATTAGGATTTACCAAAGCATAACAATGACCTGGGTAAAAAAGAACTACCCAGCTGCACACCCGTCTAGTTTTCTTGTTTCATCTGAATGCACGTGAGCATGGGAAACACTTAGGAAGGTGAACGTCTGTTGCAGGGGGTTATTTAAAGCCTGAGAGCTCATCATATAATTTTGGAATGGTTACCATTATACCATCATATCAATCAGGCCAGGAAGTAGGAATGTAAAATATTCTAAGATACCAGAAGTTTCTGTGAATGACTATGTTGTTATGTGTAAGTAAGCTTAACTGGCTATAAATGGTTATTGTAAGTTATGGGGCTATAAATAAAATTTTAAGTATAATGACATACTAAAAGAAAGATAAATTGAAATAATGTGAAATGATCAGTCAAAAATAGAGGAAGCAGAAAAGCTAGGAAATGAAAGAACAAGAGGAAGAAATATAAAATGATACAAACATGATAGATATTTAAAGACCTGTAACAATAATCAATGCGAATATAAGTTATCTCTTTGTGTTCATTGAAGATTCATTGACAAAGCAGTTTAGAAGGCCAAAATGGATGCTTTTTATAAGAAATTCACTTTAAGCCTGGCAGTGGTGGCACATGTCTTTAATCCCAGCACTTTGGAGGCAGAAGCAGGAGGATTCCTGTGAGTTCAATGCTAGCCTGGTCTATGGAATGAGTTCCAGAACAGCCAGGACTACACTGAGAAACCCTGTCTTGAAAAACAGAAGGAAAGAAAGAAAGAAAGAAAGAAAGAAAGAAAGAAAGAAAGAAAGAAAGAAAGACAGACAGACAGACAGGAAAAAAAGGAAGGAAGAGTAGTTATAAGATATCCCATAATTCACCACTCTTACAATTAATTAACATAAACTAATAGAAAACCTTTGGAAAAAAGAATTTAGGATATCACTGGGCAAAACTAACAAAGAAGGAAAATCATTCTTTCTGCTTCATTTTGATACTGCTCTGGAATTGCAACTGAGTTCCTCATAGTTGACGCTGCCTATGGAAGGATCCATGACTCAGCGGTTTTGTCCTCCTATTCTTTAAGTTGAAGCAGTGTTTGAACAGGAATGGGTAGAGGCTGGAGTTTGCCATAATTACCCTCAACTGGACTAGTTAGTAGTGTACCTCATTAGCAGAGAGCCTATCCAATGCACAGAGGGCCTTAGGCTTGTAGCACCACAGAAAAGATTTAAATACAAAAATATCTTCAGTACTCAGGAGAATGACAGAAAAGGATTAAAAAATAAAACACACAAAAGAAAAAACCATAGACAAATAATATTTTTAAAAGGAAAAACGATTTCCCCAGCCAAGGTGACTAGCTAAGCAAAAGAAGGCAGACGATTATGGCGTATGCTGAGCAGGGCTTCACTGTGGGGCTTTTTAGGGTTTGCCATGGAGATTCATATCCTTTCTGTTTCAGAACTTTGCCAAGTATCCAGCATGAAGGAGGGTGACGAAAGTTAGCTAAACTT